AAGAGGTGGACGTCATGTAGATAGATGGAGAACAGAGAGTAAAGTTATGTGTTTGCTGTTCGAAATGACTCGAGTGCGAGCTGTGGCCGGGAGGGGGGGGGGAGAGGACGAGCAACCGGCAGAGAAGCGGCGGAGGCCGTATACGTGTAAGGTCTGGATCCGAAGGTTATACTGACATTTTCATTTTTACGTATTTTTTTGAAATTTTTAAGTATTTTTCACCAAACCCTTGGGACTTGAATTCCGCGGGCGTCAGTCGGAAAAGGAAGCCCAACCCACGCCAGGGCGGGATGGGGCGGGCCGGGCGGGGCGCGGCGAGCCTGCGCGCGCGACCTGGCGCGACCGGCGCGTGGGCGACAGAGACGGAGGGCGGCCAGGTGATCCTCCCTCTCCCTCCCTCTCACGGCGGCGCGCACTCGGGCGCGCAGCGCGGGGCCGATGGGGGTTAGGTTCCGGTCGCGCCGCTGCTGGCCGCCGGCTGGGACCCGACACGAGGCGCCCCGGAAAGTCCTCAAACGTCCGCAGGCCGGCCAGCCGGCCGCGCCCCGCCCAGATAGCCACGTATCTCACCGCCGGCCGTCGTGACGCAAGGCGGACGCAACGCCGTGTTTTGGGATCGGGTCCAGCAGGGCCCGGTCCTTCATTGTGCGCTCACGTACTTTGACCAACGAGGCGTTTGTTAAGTAAAACGTCGGGCGGATCTTCTTGCAACCTTGCCGGCTGATTCCAGTCGGGCGGGGAAAAAAAATAGCACGGTTGTGAAGGTGATCTTGCAAGTATTGAATTTGTTTCATGTTTTAGTGCGATCGTTAGCTTGTACGAACCGTAAGTTTTGGTGGCATAAGAGAACGTACCTTGTGTCTGTGTCCCGTTAAGTGAAAGTGTAGTAACTATTCTAGTAATTTAATTTTCCCTATGTCGGAAAAATCAAGAAATGTTAGAGGGCTATCCCTGCCCCATAAAGTTTAAATCAATAAGACATAAAAATAATATACGTGCT